ATTCCTGTGCACGCGGTAAATATTAAAACATCCGGATATAGAGCATACAACAATCTAGATATTTGTGGTGGCACCCTACTCGAGTCAGATTTCGCAGTCTCATAGTTTCCTCATTTCGGCGATTTTAGAGCTCTATAAGCCATCAAATCATAGCAAATCATTTATATTATCCCGGCAGCGTTGTTCGATAACGCTTGCAATCGTTTCTGTGGCTAAAATTGTCTGATATGAATTGATTTCTTCCATAGTGGTACTGTGCCCGGCGAGCTCCCGACAAGCTCCTGGTGCTGACCAATCAGCTACCTCGAAGCTCCTATCGAAGTCGAACGAAGTTATGAGTCGGTCACCTGCTTCGTCCCACGGCTGCTCTGTATTCCTTAGTTCTGACGCTGCCACGTCACCAACGTCGCTGCCTTTGCATAAAGTAAAGACCCTAGCATTGCACGATCGACGAGCGTGCGGTCGATCGATGCTTCCCAATGGTCTACCCTAATAGCAAGGGACAATTTCTTTGAGAGTCAGCTCCGTTGCAATGACTTAGCACCATCCGTTGCGGATGCTCACCATTTTCTTGAAACTGCAACCTCACAGCGACTGCCACGTCATCAACGCCGCCAAATCAAGTGGTGGAATAGATAATGTACTATCTCTTAGACAAACGTGGTGGTGAGCTTGGCGCCGATCGCGAGGCTAATGTCGAGAAACTTGGGCGCGGCGTCGTGGAGGACGCTGGGCTTCTCCTTCGCGTACGTGGCAATCGCCGCGAGGAGCGACTCGGCGGCCGTCATGCCGGTCCCGGCCTTGACGACCGACACAAAGCCGTCGGCGGCCACGACGGGCTCGGGCACAACCGGCGGCTCGACCTTGGGCTTGGCCTCCTCCGCGACCTTGGACTGCAGAAACTGCTGGTGCAATTGGTTCATCTTGAGCTGGAGACCTTGGATCTCCTTGGTGACCTTTTGCTGCTCGGGCAGCGTCTTGGCCATGGCCTTCTGCTGCAAGAGGACTTGGTGCTGGCTGCGCACCTTGTACATCTCCTCTTGGATCTTGCGCTGGGCCTCCGTCACCATGATGAGCCCCGGCTTGGCGACCACTGCAGGCTTGCCCTTGACGGCCGGTGCGGGCTTGGCGGCCTCGGCCTTGACGAGCTCCTTCTGCCGCTGCAGCTCCAGTTCCTTGCGCTTGGCTTCCTGGGCCACCTGCAGCTGCCGCGCCTTCTCTTCGAGTTGGCGCTGCTTCTCGGCCGCTTCGAGCTTCATCTTGTCTTCGAGCTGCTGCTTCTGCAACCGCGCCTTCTCCTCCAGCTGCGCCTGCTGCATCTTGCGCTCGGCCTCGAGCTTCTCCATGCGCTGCTTCTCGAGGAGCTGCGCTTGCGCGGCGACAAGCGCAGCCGCTTGCTGCTTCTCGGCCGCCTGCTTCTCCTCCGCCTCCTTCTTGGCCTTGTCCGTCTTGAGCCGGTGGAGGATCGGCATCACCTGCCGCATGATGTGCTGCTCGACGCGGTCCAGGTCGCCCCGGTTGTTGCTCGTCATCTTGCTCGGGTCTTGGTTCAGCAGCGTCAAAATGCGCTTGAGGTTGGCGAGGAAGTTCTTGATGCGCTCTTGCTGCTGCACGGCCTGCGCCGAGTCGCCGGACGGCTTTTGCTGCGCCATACGTGTAAACTCCGTGTGCACCACGACGAGATCGTCCCAGTACTTGGTCTTCATCTGCCGCAGCTTCTCGGCGTACGAGAGGTTGTCGGTCGACGCCGACGGAGCCGTCGGCGCCACCAGCGGCGACGGTGTCGCTTGCTGCTGCTGCTGCTGCTGCTGCTGCTGTTGTTGTTGTTGTTGTTGCCGCAGCTGTGCACGCTGCAGCGCCTGTGCGTTTTGGGCCTGCGCAGCTTGCTGGGCCGTCACTTGGGCGTTGGGTGCGAGCGAGATGCCGGGCTTGAGCGTCGCAGTGGCCGGGGTCGTAGCGGGCACGGCCACCGGCGCCGCGGCCGGGGCATTCGCCAGCGCCTGCTTCTGCGCGATAAACTGCTGCTGCTGCGTGCGGAGGAGCTGCGCCTGCTTGGCCTTGTGCTCCTGCGTGA